AGGCTGAGGCTGAGGCAGGCTGAGGCTGAGGCCGAGGCTGAAGGCAGACTGAGGCTGAGGCTGAAGCAGACTGAGGCTGAGGCTGAGGCAGGCTGAGGCTGAGGCTGAAGCAGGCTGATGCTGAGGCAGGCTGAGGCTGAGGCTGAGGCTGATGCAGGCTGAGGCTGAGGCAGGCTGAGGCTGAGGCCGAGGCTGAAGGCAGACTGAGGCTGAGGCTGAAGCAGGCTGAGGCTGAGGCTGAGGCAGGCTGAGGCTGAGGCAGGCTGAGGCTGAGGCTGAGGCAGGCTGAGGCTGAGGCTGTGACTGCGACTGCCGTTGCCGCTGCGACTGTCATCGCGAATGCGACTACGACTGCGAGAACAGCAGAATTCTACAACTGGATTTTCATTTGAATCTTAAGGGGAATGCTTTCAGATATGCTTCTACACATCGCTGTTAGGTTGCTTTGCCGGGATAATTTGTTGCTCATCACTCGGGGGCGGAAAAGAGGGGGGTGATGACCAGGGGGGGGGTTGGATATCATGGCGGGGGCCATGATATCTCCCCAGATTTCGTGGCGCCTCTTCTTATTTCATTACGTCCATGGCCCCCCCGCTGGGCCGCGCACATGCCGTCGGTCATGATTTGCCCCCCCCCCCCCCGTCTTGGACACCCCCCTCTTGGCCGCTCCCGAATCACCGCCCTCTGCTTTTCGGGGGTGGACAGACCTCCTACCCTGACACGTCGATTAGCGAACTGGCCGTTTTCGGTTCGCGAGAGGGCGTCGCGGCCGTCTTTTTTGCGGGCTCAGGTCCCCCGGTTTCGGTCCCAGGCCGTTTTCACGAAGGGGAGGTGTACTGGAGCGAGGCTTGTCCACCGCCGATCTTTCCAGGGGGGTCCAGCGCCGATCTGAGAAACCCGCGCGGGCTTCCGCGCGGGCCTCCGAGAAGATGCGCTCCCCAGATTTCCACCGTCCCCTGCCTTGGCACCGCTCGGACGTGTGTATCTTTTCTCGGCGGAAACCATCGAGGACCATCCTGGACCATCGAGCCCAAAAAACTCGCGCGAAACCGAAAGATGCACAGGAAATGGACGTCCGAGGGACGGCAAGCTGCGCTCCGCGCCCGGCGCGGACCAGCGTGCGCCGGCGCCGTCGACCGCAGCAAGGTGCTGGCCTTTCTCGGGGCCCTCGCGGGGCCGCGGGGCCGGCCAGATCGGGAGGGGAAAAAAAACACAGACACAATTAATCGTCGATTCCCAAGAGAATATGGGCAGATATGCGACGCGGGGGGGGAGACAAAAACCCAGAAAATGTAGGAAAATATGGGGGATAGCTTTATTTGAATGTGTGTTTATTTGTGTGTCCTGGGGCCCCTACGCCAGAGTGCGACCAGGGACCCCATGCTGAGCAAGTCAGGGCAGAGCATGTCTGGGTGCCCCAGCGGAGGTCTGCCCCACCGGAAGGTCGGCGTGCGCGCCGCCCCCCCCCCAGGGGGGCGACGCGCGCGCCGAGAAGCCGTGCGGTGTGTGCTCTGTGTGCGTGCGCTGTCTGGCCGCGCCGCTCGGGAAGCGATCTGCCACAAGGCGGTGGTGCCACAGTCAGCGCGCCTACAGTCGGGGCCCTGAAGACGGAACCCTTTTCGTTAGGGAGGGGCTCCGCGTTCCTCAAGTGTTTCGCAGCTTGCCTCAGGTTTTCCTTATGTTTTCGATCGGAAAATCGAAGTTTAACTCATGGAAAAAAGGGGCCTCGTTCCTTATTTTGGGCTCCTTGGGTCAAGCCCCCGACTGTAGTGAAGACGCGCGCCTTCTTCTGGAGTCTGGAGGGTGCCCTCGTTTCCTTGCCTCTGCGGCGCTTCCTCCGCTGCTTTCATCGGTCGCCCGCCGCCCGCAAAGTCCTCACTGCGGCCTCCGAGGGTCTCGCGTCCTTGCCAACCGTCCATCATCTACGCTTCGACTGCAGCTGGGGCGTGCCGAATGGGGACTTGCTCTCGAGGACAGAAAGGAGCTGTCATCTCTTCCTCGGCGGAAAGGCGGCGGAAGGTCGGTGGAAGTAAAACGAGGCCGCCTCCGCCGGCGGAAGCCGGCGGGAAGGCTGGCGGAAGGCGGCTGGAGTAGAACATGCGCCCCCAAGAAAGGAGCACGTTTTTGTTTGTTCAGGGGGTTCGGAATCGGACATCTGTTCGGTGCGGAGGAGCGCCTCCGAGGCGGACGCCTGGTACTGGGAGGTCCTCCCGCGAGGAAGCGGGGCCCCTCTGAGCACTCCGCAGCCCTTCAGAGAGAGGCCCCAAACGTTTGAGCCTTGATCCTGGGACCTCCCCAGAGATCCCACGCTCCAGGAAATTTGGAGCGGTCAGGTTTTCAGTTTTCGGCGTCCAGGGGCCCTTTGCCGGGCCTCGGGACCGTCAGAAGACGACCCAGGCCTTTAGGACCCACGCATTGAAGAAATGGAGCGCCTAGATGTCTGGGTTGATCCTCAGGGCGAACTGGTGTCCCACTGGGTGGTTGCACCCCCTTGTCGCTGCCGGACTCCGTGGGCTGGCAACTATAGCACCCATGCTTCTACGCGACGCTCCGATCTTCTGCGCGAGCGGCTTTTCATCCTGAGTCGTTTTTCGACGATCCCGTCGCCTGGCGAGGGCCACCTGAGGCCGAAGACAGGGAAAAAACTACGTCCTGGGAGTGTGTCTTGGGACGTTGTCTTGTTCTTTCGTCGAGGCCTCCCAGATGGGGTGCGAGTAGATGGGGTCGGAGGATCGCGCCGCATCGCCGATGCATCGTCGACGCGACTCAATGTGGAGCCCGATTTTTCCACGCCGACGGCGCCGATGCATGGCCTGCCCCTCTTTGGGAGGCCTCTCTATACAGCCGGCCGAGACCACCGCATGTTAGTTGAATTTCAGTCTTCTCTCCATCGCTGGGTGTTGCTGATTAGCCGCGTCGTCTTCGATCCGGCCAAGGGCAGTATGCGCATCGTGTTTGACCTTGGCCAGGAGGTTCGCGTCGCCTCGACGCGGCCCCCGCGCCTTCTGAGGAGTTTGCCGTGTCTTCGGGGATGCTGAGACAGTGTTTCAGCAGACCGGGGTGCCTTCCGAGCCTTTTGAGAATCGACTAGACGTAAGAGTGACCTTTCGCCGGAGTGACCTCTGGTGCGGGCACAGATGGGCCCCCTGCAGACGGCTAAAAACTAGGCAGGAGCAGCGGCTTGCGCGCCTCAGTTTGGTCCCCCGCGGAAGCCGCACACCAAAGGTCACTCTGTCCCGGCCGCGTGGCCGATACCACCGGCCCCCAAGGGGGGGGGGGACATTTTGTTAACCTCTCTGTCCCGTCGTTGCACCAGCGTACGAGGAGGGAGCAACAAATAACAAGCCGCGCGCCAAAGGTCGCTCTTACCCGGGGTCGCTCTTACCAGGGTCGCCGAGACAAGGCCTGCCTTTCCCCCTTCCCCCCCCCGGGCTCGCCGCCCGACCTCCTCGGAGCGGGGGGCAGAGGCACCCGGGGGCTCCCACCCTGACCTTCCAGAGAGCTATTTTTTAGCACTGGAGGCCTAAACACCTAAAAAACGAAACGAAACAGCCTAGAACCAATAGCTCTGGGATAGGTTTTCAGGTCGGGTGCTATTTTTTAGCCCTCCTGGAAGGTCAGGGCCGGTGAGGGCCCCCAGAGGCCGAAAATCAGGAAAAGCCTCCCGTCATGTTTTTGTCACTGCTCGAGGGGGTCTGGGGGGGGGGGGCAGAGGCACCCAGGGGGCTCCCAGACGGGGTGGTGACCGCGCCGTGTGGTGAGTCGGTGGGGACTCGGGGCCCCCGCACGGCCCGGCCTCGGGCCCTCCTCCGCGGGCGCCGCGGGCGACTGGGGCAGCCGAGGCCCCCGGAGACCGCGCGTGGACGCACCGGGCGGTGAGGCCTCGGGGGCTCCGCCTCCTCCTCCTCCTCCTCCTCCTCCTCCTCCTCCTCCTCCTCCTCCTCCTCCTCCTCCTCTCCTCCTCCTCCTCCTCCTCCTCCTCCTCCTCCTCCTCCTCCTCCTCCTCCTCCTCCTCCTCCTCCTCCCCGCTTCGGGGCCCCAAGAAGCCGTGACCCAGGCCACTTTGGCCCGTCGGTGCTGGGGCCGCGCCGGGCCGCCGGGCCGCGCCCGCGATGGCCCAGCACCCCGCCCTCCCGGCCGCGGCCCAGGTGCGGCCCGGCGCCCCGGGCGCCCAGGCCGGCGCCGCTCGCGCGGAGGGCGGCGCCACGAAGAGGCCGCGGGCGAGGGCGGCAACGCCGGCGGTCGCACGACGCAGCCACTGGAGCGTGCCGGAAAGGGCCTCGCCTGCGAGGATCGAAGGAGCATCGCTGACGCACCGGCCCTCCTCCTCCTCCTCCTCCTCCTCCTCCTCCTCCTCCTCCTCCTCCTCCTCCTCCTGATCGAAGGAGCTGTCAGCTCGTCCTCGGCGGAAGGCGGCGGAAGGGCGGCAGAAGCACAAAACGAGGTCGCCTCCGCCTGTGGATGGCGGCGGAAGGCCGGCGGAAGCAAAAGTCGACCTCCCAAGAGATGGCGACCTTTTTGGGTCCAGGGTGCCCGGAATCCGCCGAATGTCGCCGCGCCGTTTGATCCGACGCGCGGCCTACCGTCTTGGAGAGGGTGCCGCGCGCGGCCACTGGGGCAAACGCCGCCTTGGGCGCGGCGGGCTCGCCGTGGGGTTTGCCGCGGTGTGGGCGGCATCTACCTGGGGCGCAGGATTTGCCGTGCGTTTGCCGTGGTGTCGGCGTCGTCCACTTGGGCGCATCGAGGACGCGGCGACAAATGACGACCTCCAAGGCAATAGCCATTCTAACTCAGGCCAGTCTGAAGAGACGACGACGTGGTCGCCGAAAGCTCACCCCGAGCGCCTGAAAAAGCGAGCCGTCCCCATCACAGGCTTCAGATCGTCATTTATTATCGAAGACGCCTACGGCGAATCACCGCCGCCCCCTGCCTTTTTGGTAGCGCATATCTGGCCGAACGTTGAGGCCAGACCTGCCAAGCTATCGGACCTGGTCCATTCTCGTCCGCAGAATAAACATGCACAAGATGCAGATATGTGAAACACGCCCATGTTATGCGAGTTCAGCGTGGTGGCCCCCCAGCGTTGATTGCCCGAGCGGCGGGTTAACGTTCATCAGTTGATGGGTCGACAGGTTCGCAGCTCCGCCAGTTGACTGGCGAGCTGGCTGCTTGTTGGGGTGGCCTGCTGGTTGGATGACCGGTTGGTTTGTCGTTGCATCTAGAGCGCGGGCCCATCACTTTTTCACCCACAAAAAACGTTGTCTCGTGCGCGCGCGCGCCCATCGTTTTCTTGCAGCGGATCGTTGCCTCGGGAGCGCGGACACACTGCGTGTTCTGTTCTCCTCGGGCCTGGCCCATCTCTTTTAGCAAGGGTCGTAGCCTGTGGGGCGCGGACCCATTGTTCTGGGGGATCGTGGCCTCGGAAGGCCATGCCTACGTTTTGTGCACAAGGCCATGTACATTCGGAAGCGCGGATCCATTGTATCTTCAAAGAGGTCGTGGCCTCGGGAGCGCGGAGCAATCCTTTCATGCGGGGGTTCGTGGCCTCGCGAGCGTAGACCTATATTTGCTTGAAGGACTGTTGGTTCGGGAGGTGGACCCATCGTGTTTGCCAGGGGTCACGGCCTCGGGGCCCGAAGCCACTGCTCTTTGAAGGGGCTCGTGTCCTCGGGGCCCCTGGACCCGGCGTGTTTTACAAAGGGGTCCATGGCCGGTTGAGTCTGAGGAGACACGTGCTCCGTTCGAGAATCTGAGCCTGCGCTCCTCAAGGCTGCATGTGTTGCCAAACGCGTCAGATGCTCCGAATACGGCAACGCTGCGAGTCGCTTGAATGCGCTGCTCTGATGATGGGGCACCAAATCCAGCCCAAAGCGCATGCACAAAGAGCGCATGCACCACAAAGAGCGCATGCAGGTTAGCCAGCCCCTCCTCTTTTCTCTTCCGCTGCCCTCGAATGTCCTGGGTTTGGGCTCGCCCCCAGCTTCCTTTCCGTCTTGTTGTGGTCGCCGAAAGGACTTCACGCCCTTTGCAATTGACGGCCGCGCGGCTTTCCAGCCCAGCATGTTGAGCCTCACATCTTGGCTCTCCGGCCCTGAACATTGAGCATCGGAACCATACTTTTTAGTCAGCGGCCGCAGGCGAGCGCGCCAGCGGCGAGTCCAGTCAAAGCGGGGCACGCAGCGACAGATTCACATAAAGCAACGGGGCGCAGGCTCACCTAAAGCGGCTAGGCGGAGCCTCGCATCGAAACCATACGCGCTGCATCATGTTTTACTATTCCAGTGGTGCGAGGAGGAGGAGGAGGAGAAGGAGGAGGAGGAGGAGGAGGAGGAGGAGGAGGAGGAGAGGGAGAGGAGGAGGAGGAGGAAGAGGAGGAGAAACGGGGCCGGTGGCGCCGACACTCTCGTGGAAGCTCCCCGCGTCAGGCCGCGCGCGAGCGCCCTCCTCTCCACGCGGAGTGTGCCGCGCTGGCCGCCCGCGCAGGGCGCAGCGTCGGGTCGCCATGCCATATGCCAGGACTTCCTCCTCCTCCTCCTCCTCCTCCTCATCCTCCTCCTCCTCCCTCCTCCTCCTCCTCCTCCTCCTCCTCCTCCTCCTCTCCTCCTCCCTCCTCCTCCTCCTCCTCCTTCTCCTCCCTCCTCCTCCTCCTCCTCCTCCTCCTCCTCCTCCTCCTCCTCCTCCTCCGGTTATTAAGAATACTCGCCATCGCTCGGACGTGTGCATGTTTCCTTCGGCGAGGATCATCGAGGAGCACCTTTGGTCACTTGGCGGAAAAAGCCACGCACGAAACTGAAAAAAAAGACAGGGAATGGGCGTCCGAGCGATGGCGATAGGATGCAACTCCTTGGAGGTTGTATTCTGTAGGGGCGCTGGTACTTCCGCGGGCGATCATCGTTTTTTTGGGGGGCGAATGCGGCCTAATTTGGCTCAATCCCTTTTGATCCGTCTCCTGGCTCAATCCCGAGCTCAATCCGGCCTGATCCGCTGATATAGCACCGCAATCGGGCTTAATCGCCCGTAATCGTTCGAGCGAAAACCTCCCAGGAATTGGCTCTGAACATCTCTAGTAGGACTTGTTTCTTTTCGTCTATCAGGTGCGGCTGGATCCCCACCGCAGGGGCCAGCGGGCCTCTGGGAGCGCGTCGGACCTCTCCTATAGTCCTCGTTCGGTGTCGAGCCCGTGCCGCTAGTACGCCGGCAAGCCAACTGCACGAGCTGCACTTTCGATTCCCCTGGTGGCGGCATGAGCCCGAGCGTTGGACAGGCCCAGGCAGCTGAAGGGTGAGGTGTGGGAATGCGCAGGAGCACGCAGCCGAACATCGTGGAAGGCTGCGCTCCACGGAGTGAACTGGATACAGCAGGCACAGCAAATGAGAGAGAGTGGCCTGCTAGCAAGTGCCCAACGGAAATGTCTTCTTCCCGGGTAGCCCCAGGGACCCGCAGTAGCTCTGGGGCACCTCAGATATCACGAAGATCGACGAGGAATGGGTCCCAATATTTTTTTACCGCAAGATTTCTGATCGTATGTTTCTACTGTGCACATGGCGCGGCCAGCCTGGGCTAGTGCTGGATGCATGTGAGGCGTTTCAGAAAGGGCCTCGCTCTTGAGAGTCGAAGGAGTTGCTATGTCTTCATTGGCGATAGGTGGCGGAAGGTCAGCGGAAGCCGGCGGAAGTACGACGAGGGCGGCTCAACCGGCAGAAGCCGGCGGAAGTACAAGATGCACCCCCAAGAGATGGCAACATGTTTGAGGTCAGCTTTCCCTGAATCGGCCACGTGTTGCCAGGCATCCAACGTCGTGAGTTTCTCCATGCTGGATCCCTCGAGGCGTAGACCTTCTCTCCAGGGCCAGCTCTCCGTCCCGAGGAGTCGTGGTGTGACGGTCCCGGGGCCCGGCGGGGGCTCCCAGAGGCGGAGGATCTCGGACAAAAGCATATCCGCCCTACCGGCAGCCTGAGAATCTACACTGCCAGTGGCGGGCTGTTTCTCAGTCCCAGGACTTTTTGGGGGTCCGGGACGACGTCGGGGTGGTGTGGTGCGTATGTGTTTCACCGCTTTCCTCGGGACACAGAGAAACATGTATACATTAGCATCCCGTATACACCAGGATACGTTTTCCTGTGCAAGTTTCAGTGCGGGTCTGGAAAATGCGTCGGTGTATGGAGTTCGGTTCCTCCCCTTTGAGCTTCTCGAGGCGTTGGAGGTCTGGGTGTGGCCAGGTGTTTTTCCTCCGCTCCCTGCTGTGGTCGCGTAGCCCGGCTTCCTCAAGTGTGCCCAGCGAGTGATTTGCGTGTTCCACACACGAGTCCACTCGTATGTGTTTCCAATTTCTTGCAAAACCAATGCGCACACACATACACACATAATTACACATACGCACATACACACATACGCTCATACACACATACACACATACACATACATACAAACAGAGAATACACACACACCTCGTATGTTTGCAAGCGCGGAGCCCAAAATCTGAGAGTCCTGGCGCTCTCGATTTGCAAGATGTGCTGTGCAACATGCGCATCGTTCAGCCGATGCGTTGCAACCTTGGTGGTGCACTGTGTGTGGCGCAATGTGTGTGGTTCAAGCTGCGTGGTGCAAGCTGCAGGATGCAATCAGCATGGTGCAACAGATCCGGCGCAGTCTATGGGTTGCATGATGGTTGCGCCATCCAGGTGCTGCAGTCGGTGTGGTGGATTGTGTATGTTGTGCAAGCTACGTCGTGCAGCCCATGGGTCTGCAACCGATTTGGTGCCACATCGGTTGCGCGCTCTGTACCCAGACCACCGACGTCATTCAGAGGAGCATGAAGTATTGATATTGATCGGTTTCAAGAGTTCCAGGCTTTCCTGTTCTTCCGCGCGGGGCTCCAGGGACGAATGGTCGAGCGAATTCCATCGCGCAGGTTCTTTGCGTGATGTGCGCGGTGCATTTTCGCGCATCGGAGCGACCTCGGAGATTCCAAGCTGCATACTGTTGTGCTCTCGGGGAGTCCGCGAGTCGCAGCTGCCGTGGCGCGATTTTCGCGGTAACCCCTTCGAGTGCTGTTCGCGGGTGCAGGGCGCGGCGCGCGCTGCGCCCAATCGCGCGCGGCGCGGTGCGTGAATCAGCTGGCCGCGCCCGTCGGACCGCCCGGAAAGTATTTCCGGATTGTGGCAGGTTTCAAGAAACGCTTTTGTTCTTTTGCAAAAGTGGTTCCGGAATTTTTCAAAATGGAGCCCGATCTTTTTATAAAAAATGAGGGGGGTCCCAGCTTTTCTTTAATCTACCGCCGGATAGTTTGCCAGAGTCGCGCGTGATTTGCCTTGCCAGGTCTTTGGGAACCGCCTAGGCGCGCAGTGCGCGGCGGCGGGCGACGCTGCGGCGCGCCACCGTCCCCCCCGCGCTCGGCAACGAGAAGGGGGATCAGCAAGTGCCAAATAGCCCCCCACGGGCGATGACTGGATTGCGAATGGGTGACCAGCGGCGCCAGGCAGAGTAGACAATACTCGACGCAAAGTGCATCCCGTGCGAAGGTTGTTAGAAATCTCGGAATCCCCGGAACGTATCACTAGCAGATTGTGTCAAGAGGTTTTTTTCGTCCTGGTCATGATTGTTTCATTACGACGATCCCCCGAGTTCTTACCCCCTTCCTTGGGACGGGCTTTTCATCCCGAGTCGTTTGTTGACGGTCCCGAGGCCGAAAATAACGAAACACTTGCCGCCGTGATTGTTTCATTGGCCGAGGGGGTCTGCGTAAGTTGCATGCTATCTGGTGCAATCTGTGTGGCGCAAGCCACGTGACGCAAGCGCAGCCCAGGGCCCTGGGTGGGCACACGACGGGCACGGGCAGGGCGCATCGCGCGAACGCCCCCGAAGTGCCCGCCTGCGCACGGGGCAGGCACGAGGCGGGCCAGCGGCGGCAGTCGGGAAACGCTAGACAGCGCACGGGGCGGGCACGGGTCGAAGAAAGAACAACGCCATAACCATAAACTTTTTGGCGCTCCGCGCGGACGTCTTGGATCCACGCTGGGCCCACCCGGCGGGCCCAGCGCGGCCCAGCGCAGATCCAGGAATCCCGCGCGGGGCGCCAAACGTCTATATGCTCATGCCGCTTGTTCATCATCTAACGAGGCGGGTGCGGGCGAGCACTTCGCGAACCTGGCAGCGCAGGCCAAACCTTTTTTCGAGTCGAGCCAGGGCCCATAAAAAAAGGCTTGCGGGGATTACAAGTGCAGTGTTTCGCTTGCGCATCTTTTGTATTCTTTCGAGAGTGGGAGTGCGTAGTTGACAACCTGTGAGCACCGCTGTGCTATGAACCAGTCCTCCGTGTGCGGTCACCCTGCAGAGGCTTCCTGGCACCGGCTTGGCCTTCATTGGGGACGCCCTGCGCCCAACGTGCGAGGGCACGGATCAGCCCCGACCCCGCCACGACCCCTGCGCTGCTCTCTTCGAGGGCCAGGCCTTGTCCATCGAGCGCGTGGTCGAGGCCGCGCGCAGGCAGCGGATACGGGAGGGCACGGCGTGGATCGACGACGTCGCCCCGGTCAGGCCCGACGCGGCGACGGTGTCCTTGGCGCTCCCGCTCGCCTCGCGGCTTGCGCCCGAGCGGCCTGGCCCGCGCTGTGCGACCCAGCAGGGGTGCAGGGCCGCAGCCCGACGGGCGCGCCCCGGCTCCGCGGCAGTGCGCCCGGGCAGCGCTGCGAGCAGCCGAAGAAGGCAAAGGTGCATCAGCGTAAGCCTTCGGATCGGGGGCATCGAGGGGGGCAAGGTCAGGAGGGGATGGGTTCATGGCGTGATCGTATGCTCTTGGGGGTTTTCCAGCCTCCGGATGCTCTCCTGCAGCTGCGCGTCGTCAAGGGCGTTCCAGGGGTGCCGGGACCTGTCCCTAACGGCCGAAGGAGGCCCGAGTTATGACCCTAAAGCCATCACGGGATTCTGTTCAGGGGGGAACCATGGACTCCCAAATCACCCATTCATCGCCGAGAGGGACCCGATAGCCCTCATCTGCCAGGGAAGGTGCGGAGTTGTTCTCGGGGGCCTATCGCGATCTTCCGGCGACGTATCGCCGATTCCAGCTCGATGTTCCCACACCTGTGCCAGTCCCAGACCCCCGACGTAATGATTTTTTCATTACGTCGACCCCAAGAGGTCCCGACCCTTTCCCCAGGACCGGTTTCTCGTCCTGAGTCGTTTTTTGACGCTCCCGAGGCCCGGTGAGGGCCCCCGGAGGCCGAAAATGAAGGAAAACCTCCCGTCACGATTTTTTCACTACTCGAGGGGGTCTGGGGTCCCCCCCCCATCGCTGCCCCTCCTCGGAGTTCTGGGCGGACGTCTTGGATCGGCGCTATGGGGCCCCCTGGCGGGCCGAGCCATGGCGCGCTGCGGCGCCGCCTGGGATAGGTCGGGTTCCAGCGCCGCTGCGGGAACTCCGCACGGGGCTCCCTCCTCCTCCTCCTCCTCCTCCTCCTCCTCCTCCTCCTCCTCCTCCTCCTCCTCCTCCTCCTCCTCCTGGTGTTGCTAGAAGTGCCCCTGGAGCAGGGGTGCCCCCAGAATCCCCGGGAAACCCAGACGGCCTCCAGAGCACCCCGCCCGAGGCCCAGGCGGCCCCAGGGGCTCCAAAGAGGGAGCCCAAAGCTGGGGGGCACCTCATGAGGCCCGGGGGGCCTTCAGCGACCCCCGATTTCCGACAGGTTTGTGCCCATGCAGTTCTGTCTTCTTCTGGGCATAGTGGCAAGGGCTCCTCAGGAGGGCTCCGCCAGCGCGCGCTCCGTTCGGACGCGCATGCTGCCGCAGCCGAAGGCCACGCCCCCAGGGCTGCAGGAGGTGCGGGGCCTGCCGCACGAGGGGAGCCCTCGGCACGCAGACCTGGGCAAGGACTCGAGCGGCCCGTTTGAGGCATGGGGTGGCGACAGCCCGAGGATCGGATGAGTCAAAGGTGCCGATACCGCCGCCCTGCCGCCCTCTCGGGGCTCAAGAGACGGGGGTCAGTGCAAACGGGGGTCAGCCAGAGCGCTGGATCTGGCAGGATCCTGCAGGGCCAGGGTCGCATTGACCCGGGCTTGGGCGCAGGATCCTGCAGGATTTTGCAGGATCCTTCGCATTGACCCGGGCTTGGGCGAAGGATCTTGGAGGATTTTACAGGATTCTGTAGTGCCTGACTAACCCGGGTCTAGATCGACCCGGGTCAGAAGATCCCGACCCTTCCCTCCCAGAGAGCCGACGCTCGAAAGGAATTGTAGCGGCGGGTTTGGGGCCGTTTTTGGACTCCGGGGGCCTTCGCCGGGCCTCGGGACCGTCAAAAAAAGAGTCAGGGCAGCACCGTGCGCAGCGTTCGGCCGAAAGGCAAGAAGCAGTCCCTGCACTGCAGCGGCGAGCACATAACTGTATAGCATTTCAAATGCGTGCGGATACCCATCAGTTTCACATCACACGCTGTGAAGTTTTGTTCATTGCTCCGATGCCGTCGTAACAAAGAAAACTCGGGCACACGCATCGATCAAATTGGAGCGGCCGGATGTCTGGCCTCGTTTTGGCCTCTTTGTGCTTCTGGGGCCGCACTCATCGCCACGGCTGGGTCCCCTTCGGGATCTCGGTCAGAACGCACCTTGGCAGAGGTCCAGGGAGTACGTAGCGGCATCGGTGCCCCTGCTGTTCCCCCAGAGGAAAGCGCCATGCGTGACGCCGCGGGCGCCATCCAAGAGTGCACATCCCCAGAGGCCCGCCTCGTCCGCGTCCGCCCGAAGTCCCCACAGTTACGGGAGGCCAGACGCGGAGCAGGTGTCCGGCAAGACCATGCAGGGCGTGTGGACTGTGTGCGATGTCTTCTGGGCTTTCGACACGGAGCACACGGGCTTCTTGACGCGCATGGACTACATCCAGCGGCTCGGCGACCCGCCTAGCGTGGAGCGTGTGCGGGTGCTCCGGCGGGCAAACCTCGCGCGGCGGTTCCGCGAGAACGCGTCGCCGGTGTCGTTGGACGAGATGCTGCACCTGGTCTGGCCCTCCGCTAGCGCAGCAGACCAGGCCACAATGAGGCGCTGGGCGGAGCTGCGGGAGGCGTTCCACATGTTCCATGATCCAAGCTTCCGAGGCTCCGACGAAGACATGCAGCGCGGCTTCGACATACTGGGCGCTGGGGGAGACTACGTCGTCGCTGCCGCCCTGGTCCAGGCGGGGGTCCTCGGCCTGGAGGACGTATGCAGCCTGGCGCGGGCTCAGGAGCTTCGGCGGCACAAGATCAACTTCCTGCAGTGGAGGGACCGGTGGTGGCCGATGCTGAAGGCGACGCACGTCTCCCGCGAGACGCTGGCAAAGATGCAGGAGGAGGGCCTTGGCATTTCCAGGCAGAGGTGGAGAGAGCTACAGGGTCCGATGTAGCCGTAGAGCGCAGGAAGTCCTCATGCCGCCGACCCCTTGGAGAGAGGAGAACACAATGTACGTCGTCAGGTCGAGATCGTCGACATGCTTGGCGTGGGCCCGATGGCCGCGTCGTGTTCCCTAATTCGTCGCTTATTTGGAGAGTGGCGTTTGGTGAATTGCGACTGCGAAGTGGAGGACATAGCGGACGATCAGCTATAACATATTTTGTTGATTCGGTCGGGGACGCTTGCCCCAGGGCGGCTGGAAACCCAACGTGCCACCGTGATGGTATAAACTGTTCAGCCGCTCTGGGTCAGGGTTTCTCTTGGGGTCGTCTTGGGACAATCTTGACCGTCTTGGAGCAGTCTCGAAGCCGTCTGGGAGAGCAGCTGGGAGTCTCCGAGGCCACCTGGGAGGCCTATTAGAGGGCTTCTTGGACTGTCTCGTCCGACCCTGTTGCCGACAAGTGTGAAGCACAACACATGTTCAACAGCATGACAGGTTTTGAAGTTTGTTTTGGGGATTCCGGGAAGGGGCACCTGGGGAGGGCGACTGCCTATCCTCTCACACGCCTTCTCACCCCCTGCAGGCAGGCGGGGCTCGGCGATTACCGGCCACAGGACGCACAAAGCTTTCCATAGCGACTGCCACCTCTGAGCGAGGAACTTAGTGCCATGGTCGCCGCACGTGCTGCAGGCATTGCGGCGCCTGGTTGGAATTCGCACTGCGTCACTGCGTGCTTCCTTCTCCCTCTCCTCCTCCCTGGCTGGCACTGGAGATGGGTAGAGTCCCTCAAGGAAGAACAGTTACATACACAAGAACTTTTGGAGCTCCGCGCAGAGTTCTGGGATCGGCGCTGGGCGCCCCTGGCGGCGCCTCCGGCGCCGCCCCTAACGCGCTGGGCACACCAGGGAAAGGGGCCCAGCGCGGATCCAAGATACCCGCTCGGAGCTCCAAAAGTTCGTGTTTCTACCGTTTCCTTTTCCTCTATCCATGGCTGGTATTGGAAATGGTGCATTCCATTTTTCCCCCATTGGGGACGCCTGTAGTTTTCATGGAGCAGGTCGCCCTCGCTCGGCGTGCTGATGAGCGACCAAAACCTCCAAAAGCGAGCCCAGGAACCGTGACGTGAGGGAGCGTTATAATTTTTTGTTCTTAGCGCTGCCGCGGCACCTTTTATCTGCGGCGACAGCAGTTTTGGAACACGCGTGTCCCACTGACATTTAGGCATAGGGCACTGGCAGTGACCGAGGCCGGGTTGACTGATTCTCCGCATTGTTGGGTCCCTTGCAGGTGGGCAAAGCAGCAGCGTAGTTATTCTCAAGTGGTTGAGGAGCGGAAGGCTCTCACTAGGTAGGATCAGTGTTTTCCATTTCACCATTTCCCGGTGAGTTGACCTGCCGAATCGCTACCCCGAAGAATTCCGGAGTGGCGCTGGATGCACTGAGGAGGAGGAGGAGGAGGAGGAGGTGGAGGTGGAAGAGGAGGAGGAGGAGGGGGATGAGCGAAAGTACATCCGAATCGATCGAGCATGCGTGGCTTTTCGCCTAACTAGGATCGAGGCTCTTGCTGTTGCGGCCTATCTATAGGCCTCCCGCAGCGGAGTCGCCGAAACGCAGCCTTGCGCGGTGGTACGTCCTCATTTTCTTCTCCTCCTCTCCTTATGGCCCTCCCTCTCCCTGCTCCTCACATCCTCTAGGGCACTTGAGTATAGGCTTGCATGAGCGGTTTTCCACGCATTGTTGGCGCGCACCCGCATGGTGTTCCCTGTCTCCATCGTGGTCTGGTCGCTATCCAGTGCTCCAGCGGGGAAGTACTCATCCCCTGAATGGCACCCTTCCCGCGCTGTTGCCACGATGGATGGAGAGAAAAGAATGGATGAGAGAAATGTAAGGAAGGGGATGCGAAACTTGTCATTCGGACGGGGAGGAGGGAGACACATAAGGCGAACACGAGTTGCGGACATATCCTCCTCTTCGCCTTATCACTGTAGCCCGTTCTTTCTCTTCATCCGGCTTCCCCATTGTTGTTCCTATATTTTTCTCGCCCTCTCCCCAGTATCCTTCCTCGTCCCCCTCCTCCGCCAGATTTGGCTTATGATGCGAGGGAATAGCTATTGTTTTTTCCTGTCATTCTCCCCCCAGCCCTTCTCCTCTCCCTTCTCCTCTGCTCCTCCCCCCTTCCCCACCACCACACCACCACCACCCCGGGGTTTGTGGGGGGGCGGGTCCTCCATCGTCGCGGTCCGCCTCCTCGCCTCCTCCTCCTCCTCCTCCTCCTCCTCCTCCTCCTCCTCCTGTTCCTCCTCTTGTTCCTCCTCCTGCTCCTCCCCCTCCTCCTCCTCCTTCCCCTAGCCCGTAGCCAATTCCGGTTCAAGGCGCGGCCAGCAGTGGTGGCCATTTTGGTTTTGTGGGCTCCTGGAGGAGCCCCCGATCTCCCCGCAGCGGTGTGTGCGATGGCGCCGCACGGGTGGAGCAGTGCTGGCTGACGTGCTGGCCAACGTTCTTTCCGTGATCAAGGTGGAGGTGGTTGGAAGTCCCGTGGTTCCGAGCTCTTCTGTCAAATATCACAGATACACCGTGGCCAGTAATTGTCGGCACTGGGAGTACGCCCGCTGGGGCAATGCCTGGTTCAGTAAGTGTGGCTCCCCGTACCTCGCTTTCGATCAATACCATGGGTTTCTTGGAGGGCATGGTGATGAAGCATCCGGCCGTGTTTCTGCAAGACTCGCCGAACAAGCCTGTGCTGCTCTCGCCCAGCTTCCTGACCTTCAGGGGCTATTTGCTGCAACGGTTCCTCCCGAACCACTCCCTGCGTTCCCCACTGGCGAAGAGCTGGACGCCCTGTTGGAAGTGGAGCGCACCACCCTGGCGAAGGAGGCGGAGGCAGCTGCGAAGGCCGAGGGGCAGGCGTGGCAAGCCCGCATTGGACGTCAGGAGCGGCCCTGGTGAAGGCGAAGGGAAAAAGGTGGCTCTGGCTGAGACTGTTTTCCAGCAGGCTTCGAACGAGCTCCGGAAGGCCACGGAGCGGTTCAACATTGCCACGGACAAGCAAAACATTCTCAATGAGAACCAGTCCAAGGATGACAAGAGGGCTGCCACCGCTGCAGCCCGCGCTACGGAGAGCCCAGCAGCAGGCGCCCCTGATGGCGGAGAAGTACATCGACCTGATGGTGGACCTGGCCCACAACCCCAGGGTGCGCATGCTGTACCTGGTGCCGCTGGTGCTGAAGCTGGCGCGTTTCGCTTTGATCCAAGCGCCCTATGCACCATCGACACGAAGAACGAGAATGACTTGCGCAAGCTCGCCGGCCAGACCCGCCCCCCCTTCGGTGAGTGACAGGTGCTACGGACTGCTCAGGCGGTTGCGCGTGACCTTCTGCAATATACTGAACAGGCTGTTCCCGATGATGTAGAAGATAAAGAAATGCTCAGCCTTGAAGGTCGCGATGAGTTGCAAGGCCGCGGGAGGTTTCTACTTGGGCCTTGATCGCTGCCCCTCAAGAGCCCCCTTCCCCCCCCCGCCGGCTTTGGCCCGTCCACTGGGTGCCTCGACCTGAAGTTCAGTGGCGTCACGAATTGGTCAGTGCTGGCGAAGAACGAGACCGGTCATGCTGCTGGACTGTTTGACCTGGCCCTATTCATTGAACATGCTCGAGGCCCCTGGCAGGTGGCAGCAGTGGGGAAGGATTGTTTCCAGATGGGTTGGCGCACGCACATCCGACCAGCTCGCCCTTCCACTTGCGGTGGCTGGCACGGGGGCGCAGGTGCTATTGCGCAGAAGGGGATATGTTGCAAAAGATATTTGAGGGCGGCCCCGCAAGGGTCCCGCAACCCTCGTTCTGGTGAAAGTTGGTTCTTCCTCAAGTCGACAACCAAAGGATTTCCTTTTGGTGTTGGAGTGGTGTGCCTGATTTTGGGGCTGGGCCTCATTGGTGACCGTATCCTGCATCTGCAAGAGTTTGCCGGTTTCCTTCGCGCGTTCGGTGTCCTTTCTCTGATTCTCGGTGGCTTGAATAGTGACCCCCTGGCCCCTCATGATTGTGAGCTCCGTGGGCTTGTGAACGACTGCGGCCTGGAACCCGGCGGCGTAGGCTTTACCTGCGATGAAAGCGAGGGAAGGACGATCAAGTCGCAGTGATCCCCCGACCAACCCCTCCTCGCATGAATATGATTGCCGATCTCGAGTCTTGTTTCAAAGCCCATGCTGCTGCGCGCGCAATACTTCCATTGGGGGCTCTGTCTAATGATGCCTTGAAACGCGCGCGACCAACCAGCCAGGGGTCAGCATGCGGCCGGGCCAGATATATCTTGGCATCACTATTTGAATCGAGCTGGGCCGCAAGGCGTTATTGTTCCGCAAGAAGTTCGAGCTGCGCCTTTCCGCGTGCATGGCGCGGGGCCCTCGGGGCCGCTGTCGGAGGCATGCCACAAATGGCGCGTCGTTGCTGAAAACCTGCCCCTTGCGAGGCGGGCCCAGGGGCGGACTCGGGCCAGCGGGGCGCGGGGTCGCGGAGTTGTTCTCCAACCCGGGTCCGCGC